CACAATACCGATAAGTGATTAATAAAAGTCAAAAGACCAAAGAGGTCACCTTAATACCAAAAAAAAAAAAAAAAACAAATTCATGTTATACCATATTATCTAATTCATTAAAAAAAAATATTGTGGTATTAAAAATATAAATTTAATAAATTAAATTATAAATTTTTAAAAATTTTAACTTATTAATAAATATTTAATATTATTTAGCTTATCCACATCAATTAGCAAATAAGCTATGCTATGGTCATATTAAAAAAAAAATTTGCAATGTTAAGTTCTATAAAATTACTCTATTGGATCTCAAAGCATGTCTATTTTTAATTCTTGTATATAAAGGTATACATACATATCCATTATCACCTCCTATACATACACTTAACTTTATTAAAAAAAGACTTCAAACTTTTATTCAGCAAGCTAATGAGGATTCATTAGATATTACTTCAACTCATATTATAATAGGTAATAATTAAATTATCAAAGTTTTTTTTTATAAATTTAAATAATAAATAATTTATTTAATTTAGGTAATTTAATTAAAATTTACTTTGGAGTTGATAGTCTATCTAAAATTCATGCATCTTTTAATGATGCAGATAAATTATACTATTGTATAAATAAAATTCAAAAAGAAAAGCATCTATTTGGACAAGATTTATTAGGAGTTATATACAATTTTTTACACAATATTAATAATTTTCGAGAATATGTTTAACAATTAAGTATGTATTAAATTTTATTAGAATTTATTTTAATTTATACTAATGCTAATACTAATAAATATTTATTTAAGATTTTTTTAATGATGGTTATGTAATGATTATTTGTATTACTAAAATTCAAGTACAAAAATAGATTAAATGCAATTATTTTGAAATTGATCTAGCCTTTAAGAAAGTTGCTAGTGATATTAACAAATTTAAAATAAATTATTATGATAAACATTATTATACAAGTAATTATTTAAATAAATAAAAATTTTTTAGTATATATATTAAGGTGTGGGTCCCATAGCTTAGTGGTTAAGCTCCCATACTCTTCACAGTCAAGGTCAATGGTTCAAGTCTGGCTGGAGACAAAATTAAAAGATTTTAGCTTCTGTAACCTAATAAGAAGCCTGTAATTGAATGCAAAGCCCTGTGGTTAAGTCCAAGTGCAGTACAATAATAGAAATAGGAATTTCTGAAAGGAGATCCAATCGTGGAGTGCAGGCACTATACGTAACAAGCAGTTGTTACAGAAGGTTACGGTTATGAAAAGATTGCGCATGTAAGTCCTTTAGGCTAGGGCAACACC